TATCTAGCATTTGAAATCTCAACGCCCAATAAATTCAGAGTACCGCCGCCGCGAACCCAATATCTTTCATGCTAAATCATGGCTGCCCATCATACACAGGCTTGATCCCCGTTGCCTAATGAAAGTATTCAACGCCAAGGGATGGGGACACATACGTTGTGCACAATGGCGTCGAGCTTCTCCGTCTTCGCATCCGGTGTGGCTTAAAGTGAAGCAGAAGGGGGCCGGATGGACGAGCCTCCGCTGCGCCGGGGCTGAGCGGAGCGCATACGATGATTGATTATGGAACCTGTTTCGCCGCGCATTTTCCAAGCATCACCGTCGTCCCAGTGTGGGAGGATGAATGGCAGGTGTTCTGGAAGCTGATCGGGCCAGCAGAGTGCGATGCACCTCATAATGGTGTTGTAAAGTAGCTGATAGCCTGCTGGTGTCAGGTGAAGGCCTGAAACTGTCAGATTATGGGAAAATCGAATGGGAATTCTTCGGGCCCACCATCGATAAGATACTTCGCCAAAACATCACTGCGCGGAGCGTCCATACAACCAGGAAGCGGGCCTTCAAGATCAGGAGTCCAGCCAGCCTGGAGCATAATTGCAGACCACAAATCAACGACGGGAACACTATGCTCTCTGCCTAAGTCGCGGATAGCATCGGCGTATTTCTTGGTGTTCTCAGCAGTACGACGTAAGGGATAACCCTTCGCTTTGTCGATGGCGTACTGCATCTCCTCGATCACGGGCGGATTCGTGATCAAGAACATTCTTGCTTTATGTCCGGACGAATTAGGATGCCGTAAGAGTTTGGTCATGTTGCACTTGAATTCGGGCAACGGAACACACTGGTTGTTTACTTCTGTTGGGAGGCAAGAATCGTTGGCACCAAAGAAGAGTCCCATGATGCGAATATTGGCATCCGAGGCTGAGGGAATTGCTTTGTGCATTACTCGGAGGGCGAGATCGGTGTTGTAACCACTGTGATCTGTATTGAGTTATGGATTTTCTTAAGAAGTGGTGTCTATCATACCTAAACCCGCGATTCACCACGTCGAGCCGTCGAATATAGGCTTGATACATAACTCAGCGCTGCAATTCTCATGAGCTGTGCTGGTTGCACTTACCCCGGCGAAGAGCAGCAACATGACCAATCCCTTCTCCATTGCACGTTTCCCCAAATTCGGTGATGGAATCTCCAAAAAGCACAATCTGATCATAGAGAGGAGCCTATCGATATTCAGCTCTCCTTCGCGATTCGCTAGGATCAAATGTTCTCACCATTTCCTCAAACTCGCTGATGCTTATCGGACCCGGAAAATAAGAATCTTCCTTGAGGAACGACTAAGGACGAGCCAGAAAAGGGGAAATTCAAGAATGCGGTTGAACAAAACCCTTCCGGAGCGGACGGATAAGAGAGAGGTTAAAAAGACGCGGAACTTTGAACTGCCTGCAAAAGGCAATCCTGCGAACGTCACGCGGAAGGGAAGAAATCCAATAAGCTTCCTTAAAGCTCAGGTTAAGACCGTCGTACGGAGGTTGGAGAAGAAAATCATGGTATAGTTGTTTGATGCAAAGAGGTCGGAGGTTGCATCGGCAGGAAGCCGGATTCGTCCCTCGTACCTTGCGGACATGTTGGTTTGTTAGATTAACGCAGTAGGGTTTCCGTCACAAGATGTGCTTGGACGGGGGAGCGCGCCGCGAACGAGGACCATCCGATGTTGCCATTCGAGGGTGATCATGCAGGGTGGCTTGATTGCTCGAATCAGACGCCGTGTGCGCGCGCAGGACCTGCGACGGGGACGGCATCACTCGTTTGATCCTCCTGTGGGAATGAGTTGAAGCATGGCATCGGGACTTCATGTGGGAGTGCGGGCGCGGGTTGGTTGAGCACAAGCATCAGATTCCATGCTAGTGTTTTGGTAGCATCTGCTCACGTGATCATTGTTGTCAGTGAGTATTACTAGGGCCCTGATTCGATCTAGTGATCCAAGATTACTGCTGGCTCTCGGTATTTTTCCCTGCCGCGCAAACCCCCAAGTCTGGATCATTGCAGTCGTGCTCCATTCCATCACCTCTGTTCCCATAACACCAACGTTGTAGAGATTCCCCGACTCTCATATGATTCAACTCCAGCCAATGCAAATCCACGCCATGCGTCCGCGATCATGTCCGACTAATAAATAGAAGCATTAAGGCCATCGACTCGTCTGGTTGACAAGTGCTCTGGACGAACCATTTACAAAAACATTACAGCGAGGCCGAGTATGCTGGCAGCCGTGTGGGAATGTGGGCGGCTCGCTTCCGCTACTTCGGCACGCCTTTTTCCATCAATCAGATTTCAAGGGATGGATTTCGTGTCTTCGAGTGATGGCCTTCTGGCAGGATCGAGAACAAGTTGTCGGCCATGTAGTCCCAGTCCATCTATCCAAAAGGGGTGCGAAAACTTGAGATGGCAGAAGGTGCTCTACTTGTACTCCTGGCATTTCACACTCACGATCTTGTGCTTTCCGGTTTGGTCGACAACGAAAGCGGTCAGCTCTCCACCCTTTACGCACCCCGAGTCGAGACCCTTTGAATATTTATGAATGTTAAGTCCAGTCTTTGAGTCATGCCCGTAGATGACGGTTTGTCGTTGCGATGCTGGGTGCGTATGAGATTGGTAGTGATTCCACAGCTGTTTCGAGTTGTCAATAACTATTAGAGATTATGAAAGATATAGCCTTACCTTTTCCCATGGCTCTCCCTTTCGGTATTCACTTGGCACCCGAGTCATAACATCGATGCTTCGCATATTCATGACCAAAAAGGGATCTTGTCTGTCTAGATCAATGCCTGGTACAAGTCCAGCATGGACAACCACGATCTCGGATCCGCCATTGAAACCAGAGATGGCTCCGACTTTGAGAATGACGGGACAGCTTTGTAGCCACTTGATGTGCTTCTCATCCAGCTCTTTGGCCATCGCGCGATCTTTGTAGTCGCCGTGAGAGAAGGACTGCTCGTCTAGAAAATCATCCCTGGTGTTTGGATCCTCCTGAGGGCCAGGTAGAGGGTGCACTTTTGCTACCAGAGAGTCGTATGCCAGCAGAGTGCGATCTTCCCAATTGCCACGAACTGCATCGGCGCCCAGGTCCACTGCCATGTCTATAACACCGCGAGAATCTGGACCTTTTGCGATCATGTCACCTGCAAGGATAAGATGGTCCTTGCCCTTGACGAATCCGACCTTGTCAAGTAGTTTCGATACTGTCTGGTGTCAAACATGACGCGCTTTTCTGATGCAGACTAACCTACGCTCGTCTTTACAACCGTGGACATCTCCCACGACAATCAATCTCCGATCATCTATACTGCTCCTGCTGCCGGGCAACAAGTCGGCATCCAAAGTCTTCAGATGGATCATATCTGTGAATTCCGGCCGTATGTTCGCACCAAAGCTTTGCTCTTTATCGTTCAATGCAGCCAAACTAGCATCATATAGCCTCTCCTGAGCCCAAGCAGGTTCCAAGTAATACAACCACGTGAACCAGCACGCCACCAAAAAGACAGCGTATCCCAGAAGATATCTCTGCACTCTTCTCGGAAAGGATAGTTGCCGGATCCAAGTGGGAAGGTCGCTCGAGAAGCTGTCCTTTTCGCTCATGAAATATGCGTGGGAGTATGAGTCTGTGGACTCGAAAGAGGAATCGCGGTATGATTTGCAGGCCCACTCGTTTGTTACGAGATCGATCAGGGGTCGCCCTTGTCTACCTGTGTGAGGGGAGTTGTAGGATGGTAAGGTTGGCTGTGAATCTGACGGGTGGTAAAACCTGGATTCGTGTGTAGGAGAGGACATTCCTGGAAATGTCGCGAGAGGGGAGGCAAGAGTGGAGTCGTCGATATGGTTCAAAGCTCGCGGCCAGCGCGTCGGTGAGGACGAGGGATTATGAAGCGAAGGTGGGCCAAGGAGATGCGGGTGAGGTGCGGCAGAAGTTGGCGAGCGTCGGGACGGGTTGGAATGTGAGGGTTGGTACGAGCAGGATTATGTGTGAGTGGCGAGAGGAGGCAAGAGGCGGATGAGTAGGTGAGTGACTATGGGTACATGAGCGACATGGAGGATACTCGTATGGGGTTGTATCCAGGCTCCCAGGCTGCCAGGCTGTCAGCTCTCTCTTGCAGGAGCAGGAGCCGGAGCAGGAATGGGTGCCATTGCCATTGCCATTGCCATTGCTGCTTCTTTCTCATGACCGACAGACCGAGCGCCAAGTTCTGTTCATGGTCTTGGACCCTGGACTAGGAAGTGATGCTCGCAAACACCAAGCCGTCAGATCCAGTTAGATGCTACTAGTATCTTATCTATCTCAGTCTCGGTGTCCGGCACGGGACCTCTCCGTACACACTGTAAGACTTACCTAAAGCCGGGCCGCCACATCACAAAACAGGGAATCTGTAGGGAGATTTGGCACATCATCGCAGGACTGACTTGCACCGTCTTCTCCATGCTCTCTGAGTCTGCACTACTACACTATACTTTCCAATGATACCAAGCGAGATGGACTTTCACGGTCCGCGCGGCCTCGACAAGGGCAAGGGGTAGCCTTGACTCAGCCTGGTCAATCTAATTGCTGATCCCTCAGTCAGTGCAAGGGACTATGTATCTTACTTGCACGTGGTGTGGATTCTGTCCTCTGTTGATCTAATATTGTGGTATCTTACCCAAGTGGACAGCTCTCTTGGCATACGAGTAGGCTGTTCATCATGATAAAATGCCATGGCTAACAGAACATCCGATTACCGCAGCCCAGTGAACAAAGCTCCAACATCATCACAGTCCAAACCTCTCTATCGATAAACGCGGGGCTGGACCCTACCTCGGCCTACCTAGAGTCTCTGCACCCACACTGTCGCTTGCTATCATCAGAACAATACTGTGGTACAGCACCGTCGCCGAAGATAAGGGGACCCATTGAACAGCCAAGACTCACATGTATAATATATTTGTTTTGAACCAGGCATCTGCCACGTCAAGCGGGTATAGCTCAGTTGGGAGAGCGTCAGACTGAAGTCCACTTCGGTTGTCCTTAAGCTGGGATCTGAAGGTCATGTGTTCAATCCACATTAGCCGCAAGTCGTGAGATGCCTCATTCGCGTGACATCTCTTTTTGCCTTCCACCGATACGTTCACCAATATTTTCGTCTGCCAATTTTCGCCCTCCTCCACTTTCTTCCAAGTCACCAAAGAGATTCAAGCTACAGAATCAGTAAATCTCATTCAATCGATATTTTTATCTTCGGATGTGGCATGAGCTTTGAGGACTGCCACAGACTGCCACAGGCAAGAAACCATGTCCACTAAAGATTGGACTACTTCAATGCCACGGTCCAGAGTCTCAGAGTAAGATCGAGCTGGACATCTTTCCATCAAATTGATTGTCTATCTTTTGCCAGCTATCTATCAAGATTACTATCGGCCGCAGAGAATGCCAAACGAATGCCAAATCTCAGAATCTTGGGAATTTGCCAGCACGGTCTGTTATGATGAACTTTGAATACCTGGCACTCAAAATCTATCTTACAAGATATTCCCACGCAGTCTAGAGACAACGCAATCAAAAGCAACCCAAAAAATGTAACACTGTCCAAACGCTGAGCCACGTCAATGCATACAATGATGATGATAGTCAAGAAACCAACCAACAGACCAACCGCCAGTTCAATTGCCAAACCAGAACACTCATTGGATAAGATTAGCTTCAGTCAAGAGGAATGGAATGGAATGGAGAATAATCGTCTACCTGAACCGAAAATCTTGCGAGCGTCAAGAGACAGTTTAGCGACATTTCTTTCTGGTCCCTCTCGCGTATCGATCCATGATTGATTAGCAGCTGTTCAGAACACGCAGTGTAGAGTGACCTTGACCTAGGCTGAGAAAGCGGCGAGGACCAAGAGACAGTTTGCCAGACATGTCTTTCCGGTCTCTCCTCCCAGCACAAATCATCCCAAAGCCAGACGCCAAACGCCAAACGCCAAACGCCAAACGCCGAAATCCAAAAACAAAAGCCCAAACACAAGAACAAAAATAGACAACAAAATGGACCCAAACCCAAACGCCAGACACCAAGACATAGGAAATGAAAGCAAAACCACAACCCGCCCAAAACCCCTACAACCAGAACGCTCACAAACACAACCACGCTCCAAGCTCTTTGCAACCCAAACCACCTAACCAAGCACCTAAATGGCGGAGACGCCGCGTGTGGCGCGGAATATGACAACCATATGCTCGAGTACGGCAAAATCTAGATGACGTTAACAAATGGCGACATAAAAAGGAAAACGACTCGAGCGGAGAACTCCAACGCAGCAACCAGGTTTCCCAGGCCTGGCAACTGGCTCCTGTGGCGGTGATCCCCGGAAGATCCGCATGCGAACGCTTTCCCAAGGCGTCCGACCGGGCACGGAAAAGGTCCTGGATAGTCCTAGATCCACGAAAGTTTCCCAGTCTTTCGGTGATCCAGGAATCCAGTAAAGATGGTCTGTCGAGTTTGTCGAAATGAACGTGTAGTATAACGAAAGTCCTGGTGCTGGAACCAAAAAGTCGCGTCGAGGTGCTCAGTCCCGGCGGCCAGCTGTCGTGTTTGTCGATGTCGTAAACGAAGGTTTCGCCCATGCCCATTTTCCTCCTCTTGCCCAACTTTCGAAAAGACAGCGCCAAACGCCCACTCTTGCAAGTGTTATCGAAGGATGCCAGATCTACGGTCGGCTGGGTCTTTCTCTATTTTAATTCCACGCTCTTTACGACATCCACCTCTTCCCAGCTTCGTCAGGACAGCGCCAAACGCCCACTCTTGCAAGTGTTATCGAAGGATGCCAAGAGTCAGCTGGTTTGCCCATTACCTCCCTTGCCATGCAACTCGGTCGGGTCGGTCGGCCGGTCGTCGTCGAAAAATGAGTGTGCGGAGGCTCCTGATGGAATCCATCGATACATTGTCCGAGAATGATTGTGGCGAGAGTCCAGGAAGGATCCTTGGATTCGTCGTCCAAAATGAATGTATCCAGGCTCCAGGTGGAACCCGTCGATGTATCGTCCGAAAGCGATTGTGTCCAGAGTCCAGGAAGAATCCGGGACTCCGGGTAGGCCAAAATGAGTGTGTGGCACACTTGTCGAATGAAGGTGTGAGACAGAGGTGTGCCGTCGGTTCATATCGTGTTGTTGTTCAAATCCCAGGTGAAACCCTTTGAGTACTTCAAGACTTGACTGTGCATCTCTGCATTATCCTCGCTCATCCTACCCGAAGGCAAACGGTACAGCAACTCATGCTTAAGTCACCCGAAGGGACAGAGAGAAACACAGCCCGACCGCCTCCAGCCTACCCACTCATCCTACCCGAAGGCAAACGGTACAGTAGCTCAGCATGGAGGAAGTCAATCTTGTGAAGGGCGAAATGTACGTGTCGATCGTCCGAATCGGTGTCGAGACACCGATGGCGCCGGAGAATCGAACGTACGTCTGGAGACCGAGTAATCCGTTAGAGAACTCGGACGTCCAGGTTTCGCAGGGTACTCGTGATGTTCGTCAGAACCAAGGAGGACTTTACCACTTTGCTTGCACTTGGAGGGCAGGAAGCCGTCCAAGACAGAGGCATTGAGGTCGGGTGTAGCGGATCGGTAAAGTGGATCCGGGTCCTTGGTTAGGCCGAAGACAATTGAGGGTTCTTCGGCCGGTGGCTGACGAGCTTGGGGTTGTTCGACCACTTCCTTCCTCACAACCTGTGCATACAGAGCTTGCACTCTATAAATAAGTTTGCCGAGGACACGTGACATGGTCTCGAATCCGGCTGAAGCAGCTCGAGCGAGGCGAAGAGTCAAGGTGTCGTCCAACTTGCCCTCTTCCTCATCCTCTTCTTGCTCCTTGACAGGGTGTCTTGGAGCATCGAGCTGTGGTTGTGGTGCGATGGTAGTAGTGGTATCGACGTCGCCTAGGTTTCCCATATCTGTGATGGTGGGGAGATCTAGAGCAGGTCGAGTTGCGAACCTGGGAAGCTCTTCAATGGTTTCGTCGTGCTCAATGAAGTGGCGAACGACATTGGCATGCTGGCGAGCTTTGGCATTGTCGACATGGCGCTGCTGCCCCAGGAGCTCTACAGCGGTCGTGTCTTGGTGCTCTTCGAAACGATCTACGAACTTGTTGAAACAACGATCGAGGACGAGGTGGTCCCGTAGCTCTTCAACGTGCTGCTCTCGTAGCATGTGGTCGACGTGTCGATGCACATACTTGGAGAGGTGACGGGAGAGAAGCTTATCCTCGCGGAATACTTCTGCACGTTGGCCCAGGCACATGTTCTTTGCTTTGAGTTCAGCGAACTTCCGGCGAAGCTTGTTCATGGCGAATGACTTGAGCTTGTTTTGGGCGATTTCCTCGGCCTCGGCGATGAGGTCTGGACGGGTGTCCGGTTCATCGACGACGATAGGTGCAGGGCGGCCTTGGGCGGGGCGGCGTGCTGTACTTTCTCGTGCGAGTGTCGATATAGCGAAGGCCATCGTGCTCATAGGGGCTCCTCCTTGCTTTGGGCGAACAAGGGGTTTACCGCTAGAGGTATAACCGACGACGTCGGACTTGATGGGCCAGGGCTGCTGGCGAAAAGAGTGTGACGAGCGGGTAGCAGGGGCCTGTTGGGGCAGGCATGCCGATGAAGTTGTGGCAGAGGCTTGTTGGGGCAAGCGTGCCGGGCGAACAGATTGCGGACTTGAGAGGTTGCGAGTCATGTTGAGTTGAGACGTATAACGTGAGCTGAGTAATGAGGCGCAACTTGAAGTAAGCAAAAGTGTTCAGGAGGATGAAGGAGAGAAGGAGCGTCGAGCTGGTATGTCCAGCCTTTGTGGTCCAAGCTTCTCACGACTTGTGATAGGTCAATCGACGAAGCTTGACCACCTTGAGCATAGTGAACTCATGAATGCTCGCCAGGCTAAGCTGTATTGGGACGAGGATGTTGTTAGAGACAGCTGTAGAGTAGCATATTGCATGCCGACGATGTCTGAGGGCTGTTCGAATAGGCTAAACTGATTGTAATGATCTTAAGCTTCAGGCTGATACCAGTACATACCTATGATTTCCATGAAGTGCGGCACAATACTGTGGAGCGTCGAAAACCTATGACCTAGTACAGCAGCGGATCCGAGCAGCTGAGAGCATCGTTGTGCCCGTAAAGAGATTCTCCTAGGTCACTTGTAGTGTTTTTCTTAGTATAGTGCCTTCCCAAGTCGTGGTTGTTAGTCCTCTGCTGGCGCCTGCCTATGCTGGGAGCAGCGCCTTGAAAGATATATCCGCTTAGCGAAACTTTCGTAGGCCAGACAAACACTTGGAGAACCTCGAGTCTATCTAGAAGATGAGATCTGATGCGTTTTGAGTGCTGCCGGAGTCCTCGCTGAAGCATTGGCGACCTTGGCTCGTTACATTAGGAGACCGTACAGCTCACTGGCGTACCCATCACGACTAGACGGAGGGCGAGGACAAGTCCGCGAACGTTTCTTTAGCATTCTTCATCCTTAGGAGACTCAAGATGGAGAGATAATGGTAAGTTGCGTGGTCTCATGGCGCCACTACCTACGTCTGCAAGACCTTTTGATACCGAGCTCACTGCGATGATAGAGAACTCAAGCCACCAGACCTTTGAGAATGGCCGAATCGAGATCGAGATTGAGATATACCTGTTTCCGCTCACGAACCACACACTTCTTCTACTCGATCCCAATCCGGCATCAGTCTCACCGATGAGCGAATACATAAAATAGGCTGGAGCAAGATACTCCATAGCATACATACCCTTCGAGAAAAGATCAGAGCGGAGGTGATGGAGCAAGCAGAGAGAAACACGTAGTCGAGGGCACGCGCACACAATGAGGCATCATTCCCTCATCATGAAAGGCATGCCATTGGTCCATCACCCTCCTCAGTCAATTACATGGAATCCAGTATCTCTTATTCGGTATCGAGATTGATCAATTTCTGGCAAGATCTAAGACCCCGGTCGCCAGAAGGTTAACAATAACGACCCCGACTTGCGAGATCTGAGTTCTCAGCACGTAGCCTCTCGGTTGCCGAATACTGGAAGGGGACTGACCTTTTG